AAAATGCACAGCCCGCCACTGGTGAAATCTTAGAAAGTGACAACAAGGATAGATGTGGGTCTAAAAGACCAAGAACATTTTAGTAATTAGACATTTTAGCCTTTTCTTTGTGGGGGGGGGTCGAACTTAAAGTGAGAGTGGTCATAATGTCACTGATGAGGTCAGTCTCTCTGTCTGATAGATGTATTAGAGATAAACAACATAAATACAAACACTAAAATGTGTCTTTTATATATTTACACATATTTGTGTTTTGCATCCAGCTGCTTTATGCCACTATATTTATTCACAATTGAATGATGCGCACATGCTGATTTAGCGTTCCATGAGAATGTAGGCCAGCCTGATAGTGCTGCTCCTCACCAGCATGCTGGGTGAGTGTGTTTTGTCTGCTCTCTTGATTAGAGGCCTTTCATTTATACGCCGGCGAGGTGCCCGCTGTGTCTCCGTACTTCTAACTCAGGGGTCACGCTGTGCCGTGTCTTGCTGCGTTCTCTCTAATTCCATTCCTCGTCCAAGTTTGTGTTTGATGCATCCTCATCTCTTCTTTTTTAGAAGTCTCATTTGTGCGCATTCTGCTGACAAGGTAAACACAACACCCACAGCCACACACACACTCAATAAATATGGTCATATCCCACATATACAAGTAATGCCTCGACTCTATTGATACAGGAACAAAACTTTCCAACATCCATAAATCATTCCGCTGCAGCCTTCAAACTCATTCCAACGTAATAATAACTGCAGCAGCTGAGCCGTTCCTCCAAAACAATGTGGCGCACAAAGAGCTCGAGTCAGACACGGGAGTCTTGCATATCATCCACCCAATAGGTTATTTAGAAAAGAAATGAAGTGTGCAGAAATGTGTGAGAATGGCAGGCTAGCGTCTTCACAGTGGTTATAGAATGACTTATAATCAGCGGTTCACAGGGGGAATACATCACCTCTGTGAACCGCTTCTGAGGAACAATTGACAGGGAATAATGACTGTCTACCCTCTTCCTTGTTGGAGGATAATTCCTGCTCAGGGGCCGTTTCACAATCAAGTCTAATGAAGAACACTTAGCAAGAGAAATTGCCTCAGTGTGTTCGGACTTAATTTTTGTTCTTCATAAAGGGCATTGTATGATGCATTACCTTCTCCCAAAACATCTTGCCGATGGTTAGAGGAAGAGCCGGGCTGTGAATGTTGTTCAGACGTACGGTGTTCTTGTGGCGTTAAGCGTGACTCAAGGGAGATACATCCGGAGACGCATGCTTTTAGGGGCAACGGGAGCCGCAATCAAGACTAAACCGGTAGAAATATTTCATGGATTTGTGATTTGAAATTCAATCAGCGCTTGGTTGAAGGAGGCACAATCAATACCAGAAGCATGCAAACCTCTCACTTCCTCCCTATCTAAATGATTAAGGAACTGCACTTCAATTCCAGAGAAGACATTTCTCATGAAGGCATAATCAAGTCTTCTGAGCTGACACAGGCAGAGGAGCGAGGCTGCAGTGGCCGACACAAAAACCTAACAATTCAATTAGCCTATAACTAGAGCCAGTGTTTGGTGTGTCCGCCCTGGGCTACTGTAGAAACATGGCGTCTGGCTCCGGGAAGAGGACCCACTCTGTATGTAAATGTAAATGCCTCTATGTAAAGTAACGAAAACACAACCATTCACAAAGAAAGCATACTCGATCATATCATATTCCATTACTGCCAACAGAGCCCCTTAAATGCCTTTGAGGTTATACACACAAAGTTCAGCTTAACACGGCTATAATCTGTATTCTTTCTATTACAGTGTATCAAATGAAAGTGTGAAAACAATGTGACAATATGAAATATGAACCCACAGAGAATGATGCAGCCTCATAGATGGTTCAGCTCATGGTTCTATCATTTTGGTTCACTGTCACCGCTGTCCCAGTGTTGTTTGCTGCGTCTGTCTTCAGTGAAAAGGTCTCTACCTGCACAGCAGCGAACAGCAGACAGACACAGCTAGAGACCAGCTGGTCAATGCAGTTGAGCATTCAGAGCACGGCTCAGTGGGACGTCTGACCTCAAGGTTGGCAGTTCGATACCTGGCTCCTACTGTCTGCATGTTGAAGTGTCCTTGAGTCACTGAACCCAACCCACTGCTCCTAAATGCTTACGGGTTAGGCTGTAAATGCAGAGATCCAATTTCATGTTTCATTTATTTTTTGATTTAGCAGCTAAAGAGACAGATATTCCCCTCAGGAGTTGACGTGTAGACCATTCACCTAAAAGAGAGTGAATATTGGACTTGCATTCATCAGGTGGACACAAAAGAAGGCTAATGTTGCTCCCCAACTGCTGAATGTATGCAAAGTGTTTGCTAAGAAAACGTCCAGCCTTGCTCGCATCAGCGTGGTGGAAAATTGACAGGAAATGATGGGAGAGAGATGGGTAATCGCATGCAATAAACGTCCCCGGCACAATGCAAATCGTGTGCGTTACGGTCCATCTGCACCACAACACACCCACACCGTTAACAGTTTGTTACTGCCCACATCAAAACCGTGACACCATGTCCTTTTCTTCTGTGCCGAGTGCGGGGTGTCTTCATGGAACATAAAGGCAAATGTAACTGTGCGTTAAGTGCTGAATGTGCAGTATGGCTGCGTTCAAAATCACTCCCAATTTTCTTTTATAGTGCACTCACCTTCCACTATTTTATTTTAGAGTGTGTGTATTCTGAGTGTGTAACTAAAGTGTCCTCGTGCTGGCCATCTGTGGCCTTTGAAAGAACCTATTACCTTGTGTAGATTGTTAGAGATAAAGATATTTATGTTTATGTTTCCTGATCTGGTGGACTTATTACCAATTTCACATAGTTTGTTTTAGCTTTGTGATTTGCAGCATCCTCTTTCTTCCTATCGCTCTATAATCTATTTAGTGTGTAGCTGTTGATCTGAATGGAGATCCCTTACAGGGATGAATAAAGTAGAATTAAGTTGAACTGAATTCACAGCCTTTTTTTCCCACCACAGCCTTGCAGTCCTTTTACTTGATGCAGGCTAATTGCTGAGAAATGTGGTGCGATTCTTCCTGTGCCTTCCATCCCTGCACAGATCACTTCTGCTGTCTTTATCCCCTCTCCTCTTCTCCATATCTCCCTCTATAATTTGGCCCTCTCGATAGATCTCCTGTCATTCTTCCCTCCCAAAGTCTTTCTACCCCACCATCCCATTTCCATCGGTTTATTCATCCCCACCCAGCCCTCACGCTGTCTCTTGCTTCGCCCGCCCTTTCCCTGTCCCCGGCCTTTCCTCCTTCCCGCTAACCATCCACATGACTATTTATGAGCGCAGTATGCCTCACAGTGGGGCCCGATACTAAGTGAAAGTAACGGGGAACATCGGAGCTCTTCAAAAGCTGGAAGCTCTTTAGCGGAGGCCGTCTATCAGCCTGACAGAGTATGACTCTGAAGCAGCACAAACACAATCGCACGAGGCCTCATGCACATGGAGACGCTCATGTTGTTTGTATGTGTTCCCACGAGACGCCCGGGTGATTCAGCTCGCACTGGATACTTATCTCTATTCGCAGTGTATCGCGAGGTAAAAGAGTCAGTGTGCTGGGTAAGAGAGTATTTGTGTTAAAGTGTGTCTGTGTGTGTTCAGGCACAACAGCAGATCTCTGAGAGCATTAAGATCATCCATTGACATAGAGCAGAGGCCGCAGAGCTAAATGGCTCCTTTACTGTAAGTGGTTTCGAGAGAGACAGACATCAGAGCTTTGTGGGAGACGGAGCCACCGACGCTGTGATCTACACTTCTGACTAGTGCATACCGGTTTTAATTTCTCGTATGATATGAATTTTTCATATACCGTCGCACAGCCGAAACAACTGCTGTCGCTCTTCAACAGGCAGCAGAATATATTGTTGGCCGCTGAGCGTGCTGCGGTCGGAGCTAGTTGTCTTAAGTGTATTGAGAGGGACCTCTAGTCATGGTTATCACTTTATAACAACCCACAACTAACACTCTTTAACAGCAAAACACCACGACACTACAGTTTGTGACACATTAACAATTTGTAACACTAATAATTGTACATTTATAAAATTACACCGCCGAACTGCATGCTGGGTACAGCTCGCTCGCTAGCTAGCACATTTTATTGATGGTTAAGTCCTGCAGTTAGCTGACCCTGCAACGTTAAGGCTAATTGTAATGCCGACATTATTAATATTATTGATTACACCTGTGGTTTCCTGCTGTGAGAAAGGCCTATCCATTTAATGTCAGGACGCTTTCCTTAATCACAGCTTTGTTTACATTATACACTATATTTATTCTCACAGAGAGTATTCACATATTTTTATTTGTTGACTTGTGTTAGTGATGTAATTTTCTCCTCATAAGTGATATATAAATGATCTGCAAACAATGTACCTTTCTCCTCCAGTTAGAACAGTTGTACATTCATGGTGTTTAAACACCACAGTGCCTTGTATTCAGTGTAAAAGCCTTTGTGCACAATTAGCTTGAAAGCCAGTTAATCAGCAATCATACAGACACTGATTTGCAGTTTTGCATATTCACAGTTTATGGAGTGCATAGATGTAATGAAATGCATGTACATGTTGGAGTGAGTTGATCAGAATGGCATGTACAGTGCAAAGGTAAGGTGAAATACATCATTTCGTACAGCAGCCTATTGCACTCCTCACATATCAACATTTGGATGCAGCAAGGTTACACAAATCAGAGAGCAGTCTTCTGCAGGGATCAGAGAAGTTCGTTGTTTGTTTCAGGAAACTATTGTTGGTAACAGATGACAGTTAAAAGGCCCCTTGGTATCATAGCATTAGTCCTTTACAAAATCAGCAGGAGAGAGAATAATGTTTTCCCCCTTATTATTCTACCATTTGAGAGGTACGTTTAATGCGGTTTCAGACCAGTTTTGACTGAGAGCTAACTTGCCACATTTTTCCTGAAAGACTTGAAACTGAATTAAACTTCTGTCGTTGTGTCCACAGGTCGCAAGTTCGTCATCGCCAATGCAAGAGTGGAGAACTGCGCCATCATCTTCTGCAATGACGGCTTCTGCCACATGTGTGGCTACTCGCGTGCCGAGATCATGCAGAAGCCGTGCACGTGCAACTTCCTGTACGGACCTGACACCAAGCGGCTGGCCATCGCCCAGATGGCGCAAGCCCTGCTGGGAGCGGAGGAGAGGAAAGTGGAGATCAACCTGTACCGCAAAGATGGTAGGAAGAAACCCCCAGAGTATTCTGAGAGGTGTTTGTGTGGATGTAAGAGAGGGTGTGAGGACATGTTGAGTTGCACAGGAGATGAATGTGGATCCTCTGGTGTCACAGTGTCTGTACAAGTTTGGGATGGATAGTGTGTTTGTGTGTTGTTTTACTTAACAGTTGGAGGTGACAGTGAGGTAGTCATAGAAATTGCTTGTGTGTGTGTATTTATTGAGTGTTTGAATGGTTTTGTCACTGTAAAATGTACTTGTTTGTAAGTTGGCCTCAGTGTGTGTGTGTGTGAGTGTGAGCGACCTGACTACTGTTTACTGATAAGTCCATGTTGTATTTTGTGTGTCTTGTAGTGATGGAAGTGCATAAGATGCAGCATGGTACATTTGGTCTGTTTCCAGACTGTATTGACAGAAGACTACAGCTAACATCTATAACTGTGGATTGTTTATAGCTGAGAACCTTTAAAAAATGATTTGACCGGCGTCTGCACATTCATATAAAAGTCACATCAAATGTAAAAACACAACAGCAGTTTTGTAACATTTTCTCCAAATGTTAATGATTTCAATCGACCTGACCCATATTAACCGGTACTGTAAGAAGTACATTGGGGAAGCCCCTGGAGAATTCTCTCAAATGGCAGGAGTGTGTATCGCACCTGCCAACTGGACCAGGACCAGGAAACAGGACGCTGGTCACCGCCATGATAGACAGCTTCCATGGTGATAAAGTTAGCAACTCCCTGGGCTACAGCCAAAGCATATGCTGGACATTTTCCACCTGTAGACAGACACCAAAGCAGCAGCAGCAGCAGGAGGAGGAGGAGGAGGAGAGAGCAAGAACGAGACTGAGGGAGGAAAGTGAGGGAGGAGGTTTGCTTGAAACAAACTGAGGGGAAACTAGAGACCATCTTGCAATAGGATCACACCATACGCAACGTCAAATTGTGCCAGGGGCCAAAAGTGTGTGTGTGTGTGTGTGTGTGTGTGGGGGTGGGTAAGGGGGGGGGGGGGGTATCTGTCACAAAATCACACACACACACACAGAGTCACAAGGTGAAAACAATACCAGCCTTTTTATGGCAGCTGGTTAAAAGAGGCAGGAAAACAGCACACCTCTGCAAAGTGAAGAACAAGCAGTGGGGGCAAGGTGGGAGAAAGACCGAGCATGAGGGAGGGATAGAAACAGTGACTGTCAGAAAGTGTGTTCCTCATGTAATCTGAGAGCCGTGTTGGTGGGAGGAGATAGCAATTAAAAGAGAGAGGAAGAAACACAGAGAGACGGCGCCAGCTGTCTCCCCTCAAGTAATACTTCTGAGGAGGGCTTCAACCCTCCCCTCTGCACAGTTCACTTTCCACTGTTTATACTGGAGATGTGGACACACACACACACACACACACACAAAACAGCGATCACCTATACAAAAGTATCTCATAAAAAGCTGCAACCCTGTATATAGGACTACAGAGGTGTTGCCATTTCTGTCCCACTGGCTATGTTAACGAGAGTCCGCCATGCTAACAACACATATTTAAAGGCTTTGGAAGTGACAACATGTCGTGCCTGCAGCGGTGCTGTGCCAGTGCAGGCTGGAAGCTGTAAAGCTGCTGCTGGCATATGCAGTTCAATCACATATCAATAAAACAGAACTGTTGGAGGAAAGCCAGGGCTGTGTGTTAACATAGCCCTGCTGCTACTGACGTTGAACGTTTTGCAGCTCAAAACGATAGCACGAGTATAAAAGTAATCGAGTAAATCCGCTGTAGTTTGAGACTATTCAGAATCTGTGTTTGGGGGGACATGGAGCATACACAAATACAGTTTGGAATGTCATTTTCCATGCCCTTTTAAAGAAAGATGGTACTTGTCTGTACCAGTTATCATCAAATATATTGGTTGATATAAAGAAACAATAGTTATGGTAAAACTATAGTGTATCCCTTCTTTTACTGGCACACAGGTACATTGTGGTGATGTGTGGGTTGACCCATTGATCAAACTGGGCAGTAGGACACTGGGCCAACCTCACCTACTGTACCCATGGATCATACTGGGCATCACCCTGTGAATATCTACTGTTGAATCTATGAATATGATGTGGGGCTCAGTGAAGAAGGTTTGTCCACAGGTGAGCCCCTGCACAAGGAAAATGAATTGTGGTCGTGGTCTGCATGAATGAGACCGTTGGGTAAGAAGTAGCACACGGTGAGGTGACTGTTTCTTTAATTCAATAGATGACAAGAAGGCACTAGAGTTTGGGTTACTGTTTGTCTGTAGTTTAACATGTAATAAAATAACGGACACTCAGTGCTAACATGTACTTGCCAGTAAATGAGAAACGAGTATTTGTGGCCATGGTTTTCAGTTTTTAGGAGATAGAAGGTTGATCCCAAATCTGGGTATGTTCACAATGGTGAGACATGTTGAGACTCTCATCAACTTACAAGTCAAGTGTTGATGAGTGTTGTGTTGTGTTTAAGCCAGTAAGAGGACAACTTGGAGATAGTGGCGACTCAAACATTTACTATTACGTACGTGAAAATCCTCCAGTATTGTGTCTCCTACATGCTGACAGTAAGCAGGTGTTTGTAAGCAACCACTGTCGATGTTCAACAGTTTGCTGTGAGGAAGTCATGAGTTCTGAGACAACTGCAGAGTCTTAAAAGCTGTTATCTACGGTGGCAATGCGACTGAGCTCAGCTGACAACACATGAGAGTAAATAACAAAGACGCACCAGGAACATCCTTCTCTGTGAGTTGTGAGTTGTGTTTGTCACGTTGCCATGGAGTTTGTAGAGAGGCCCTCATCATGTTGTTATAGTAACCAAGAGACACTCTTATGATTGGATGTAAAAATATTAATTTTGTCTCTCCTCCTGCACTGGACTGCACTGTTTGTGTTCACCAAAAGCTTTCTGTCACTAATAAAATCCTCATTGATCTAGACTCAGTTAAAGATAGTGGATAGATGAAAGAGGGCATTTGTTATCCATGTGTGTGGGCAGCTGGGACCCTGTTGACTCCTCTCTGTCACAGTCACTCACACTCAGGCACACAAAGACACAAGCGCGGTCTTAGGTGACCCCAGCGGGCCGCCTTCAAGCCACCAGAGAGCTGCGGATCGAACTCTGTGGACACGCCTCATCCATAATGCACACAGGGAGGAAACACTATGCCACCTCCGCTTGTCCCCTCTGCCTCCTCCCCCCTCGCTCCTCACTCCTCTTGCTTAGGCGAAGAGGAAAGAGAAAGAATAGCCTCTCCTGTGATCTCCAAAAAGCTACCTATGCAGTGAGTGTGCAGGCGTGTTTGTTTTACTTGTAATGGTGGGACAGTGTAGCCCTGACCCACACATACAGGCACATCATGCATGAACACATTGCACACACACACACACACGTACACACTTTGTGCTCACACAGGCTTCATTTGAGCCCATTTATCTCGTGCCAAAATCAGACACAAGCCTTCACGAAGATGGATCTACCCTCTCGCTCTCACGCTCAATTGTCCGACTCCAATTGCTCTCCAGCTTAATCAATCATGCTCTCCAGGTAAACTGCATAGGAAACATAGACTGAGCGCATGTAGAGGTTTTGGGTTGGAACGGGATACTTATTATCATTGAATCTCCTCACTGGCTGAATGTCACAACTATGTGGTTTTACGTTACCCTCTGGTTCACAGAGAAATCTGATGGTGACTAGAGGGCTATTAAAGGGGAAATGCGAGCATTGTTGTCTTTGTTTCGTTGGGAAAAGGAACTAGTACATGGATGAAGGGAGTGAATAAACCAGCAATCTGTTTTAACTGGATCGGTATTCTCACTCTACACCCTCCTGTATGTCTCTGAATCTCACTCATTCTCTCTCACCTCTTTTTGCTTATCTCTCTCCTCTCAGTGTGTCTGATCGCGTCTCACTGTTTGTCGTTGCCTCCCTTCTTGCCCTTTGGCTCTAGTTGCTCAGCCTCACTATCTCCAGCTTTCCCTCCCTCCTGTTTCATAGTCACTCGGTGTCTTTAACTTTCTCACGGTGTTTGTCTTTCTGTCTCTCTCTGGCCCTCCATCAGGGAAGAGAGAACATTGCTTGCCATCAGCCTGTAAAGATGTCACGCAGCGGGTTCTAACACAGGTTGTCTGTATAAAGGGCCTATGAAGCCTGCCATCATGAGCTAGATTAATTCAAGGATGTCAGTGTTGAGCTACTGGAGCAAGTCTTAATCCAATTTGAAGAGATGGCTGTTTGATAGTTCTCTTGTCACCGCCGAGTTAAGAGAGGCGACAGAAATCCTTTGAACACAGAAGGTTCAACGTGTTTTATGTTCAGGATGATGAAACCGTGTCAAACTCTGCTCCTTTATTCCACACAGAGTAAAAAGGAACGTGTTTAACACATCAGAGCTGAGTGACAGGACATTCATGAATACATAAACTGAGTAGATTCTATAAACCAGATTTGCGAGAGACATAACTAATGTGTGTAATCACAGCAGCGTGTTTATTACAGACCAGCTTCATGTACAACGTGTGTACTTGCTTTGGGTCGTCTTTGTTTACTGACACTCCACTCCAGTGAAGGTGAGTATGTTCAGAAGGAAATGCAGCAATCAATCAAGCCGTGATGATGTACTTGTTGCAGACAATTAAACATGATGCTGATGTGCAAGGAATTTATTTTAGTCAGCATTGAAACAGTTTGGCAAACACACACACACACACACACACACACACACACACACACACACTCTGTACCTCTTTATTGGAGCTATTGGTCTTTTCCAAGGTCAAGGGACAGCTGTGTTAACAAGGCAATGTACTTTATCTCCACTGTTTGTATCATTACATTCAGTGTGTGTTTACACCTCGTACGTGACAAGCCGAGGCTCCATTTGATCCGGGGCTGCATTGTATAAATGTCCCAATACATCCTGCATTGGCTTTGAACGTACAGTGAATCACTAATGCAGAGTAGTTGCAACTGTAAGATATAAGGATTTGG